AAGTGAACTTCAGAAATTGTTTGTGGTCTGGATAGATAGGAACTGTTAGATAGGCGTCTTTCAAATCGAGTTTGACCATGAAATGAGAATGCCTACTTATGGGAATTAAATCTAATTATGTAGTTACAAAATTTAATTAAAATAAATGCATGCAGTGTTGATCACACTCACACAAAAAATAAGTGCAAGGAGGTGAAGTACAATTTTTAATGCTAAATTTGTCCCAAAAATTAGAATGCCTATAGGCATTTTAAATTATGCAAACAGCAATCATCAATGGGAATTTCAAACTATACTGCAGTATACAATGTACATGTATAGTTTAAAATTAGAAAAATACATCAAACAAAAAATACCATAAAATAGACAGCAAAAATTTCACCTTTGAAAAATTTTGGATACCCCGTTTCCAATCCCTCTGTACTCTATTATCTATGGTAAAAAAGCATGCTTTTTCTCATTTTTCTTCAAAATAATTTGCTAGCTTGCTGATCTCAAATAGGCTGGAAAGAATAGAAACATTTCCTTTTCGTAATCTAAGATATCTTGCTCAGCTGTGAGTAATAATTGATAAAATCATAAAACAACTATCTCATAATATATTACTTATAATGCAGGGCTTTGTATAAAAAGTTAAAAACAAAATCAGTTTCATTGCCGAGGGATCACTTGAAAATACTAACAGGATCTATTACTTGTAAGCGTATTCATTTCTAAATATTTGTCTTTATTTCTTCTTTCTCTCTTCTTTTTCCTTTCTAACTTAGCCTATTATATTATTATTATTATTGTTGTTGTTATTGTTGTTGTTGTTGTTTATTATTGTATTTAGATACTGTAGTAATTTTAGTGGCTTTATTGTTTTCCATGCTATAGGCAATGGAATGATTTTCGGACAAATATAACACAAGACAATATGATAGTGTGTGGTTGTTCTGCCCTTTGGCTTCAAGAATACTTGAGATCCAATCGTCCTTACTATGAGACTGTCCTATGTGGCTATCCTATTGAGGTCAGAGGTCAAAGACTAAGGAGTGTGGACATAACTAATTGCAGTAAGCACTTGATGAAAAATAAAATACCATAATATATACCAGCTTACTTTTGCGGTAAAATTTTTTGCAAATTTTGCATTTTTAAGATTTTTCAGAATTACTTTTTGCAAATAGCTTTCAAACTGCACCACATGTCAATGGAAATACAGAATTTTGTGTTTGAAAATTTGCATGACTGAGCAAGAAACCGTAAAATTCACAAAAATATTTCACCGCAAAAATAAACCAGTATAATGGTAAGCATGGTATAATATATAGTAAAGTGTTAATATGCATTTTTACTTAGTATTGTTGCTTTTTAGCAAAAGGATTAAAGGTATCAGTGACTCCATCATCAGAGGTTAATTATGTGCAGAGTGGTGCCTGTCTTGAGCTGCAGTGTAAAGCAAATCAAAATGTTGATGTAACGTGGAAAAGAATTGTTAAAGGATCTGAACAGTGAGATATACACACACTAAACCTACAACACTGACTGTAATAGAAAGTAGAGTTTTTGTTAGGATTTTGTTAAAGGAAATCACCTTTGGCCCCGTTTTTGAGTAACTTTAAAATTTCATGAAAAATCCAATTTTGATCGGAATCAGCTCAAACGTTCTACACAACATAAGTACATGTATATACATCAGAAAATGTAATAAAAATGGAAAATTCTTAACTTGTCATTTTTGCCAAAATTTGGCCAACAACCCTGTACTATAGTACAGGGACTTTGGCCCCGTTTTTGATTAACTTTAAAATTTCATAAAAAATCTAATTTTGATCGGGATCAGCTCAAACTTTCTACACAACATAAGTACATGTATATACATCAGAAAATGTAATAAAATGGAGATTTCTCAACTTGTAATTTTTGATGAAATTTGGTTAACGACCCTGTACTATAGTACAGGGACTTTTAGCCCATTTTTGAGTAACTTTAAAATTTCGTAAAAAATCCAATTTTGATCAGAATCAGCTCAAACTTTCTACACAACATAAGTACATGTATATAAATCAGAAAATGTAATAAAAATGAAGATTTCTCAACTTGTCATTTTTGACTAAATTTGACCAACGACCCTGTACTATTATAGTACAGGGACTTTGGCCCCGTTTTTGAGTAACTTTAAAATTTCATAAAAAATCTAATTTTGATCGGAATCAGCTCAAACTTTCTACACAACATAAGTACATGTATATGCATCAGAAAATGTAATAAAATGGAGATTTCTCAACTTGTAATTTTTGACGAAATTTGGTTAACGACCCTGTACTATAGTACAGGGACTTTAACCCCATTTTTGAGTAACTTTAAAATTTTGTAAAAAATCTAATTTTGATCGGAATCAGCTCAAACTTTCTACACAACATAAGTACATGTATATAAATCAGAAAATGTAA